TTTTTTTTTTTTTTTGGGACATTTAGGCCATTTAAGGGAAACTCACTCACACAACACATACAAATGGACTCGAACCTTGGACCTCTTAGTTGGAAGCGTAAGCTCTCAACCAACAGGCCAAGGGGAGTTGTGTGTCGCTAGTAACTGTGAGTGGGATCTAATATAACAATCGTCATAAAATAAAAAATTGTAAATGTACAGTGCATCAGAATATATGAGGGTTTTTTTTTGAAAAATTATTTCTATGTGTTGATGTGACGTGTTGAATTTTTTAAGGAGTAAAATATTTCCCAAAATTTTTACAATAATCGTAATAGAATTTCAGCCTTCTTCCTTCCTCTTCATAACCTTCCCAGTCAGAAGAAAGCACAACAACAGAAAGAAAGTAGCTCGCCTGGTGAACAAACCTAGCTGAACGATCACCGTCCCAGTTGAAATCAACACACAGAATTCCAGCAATTAACACTCCTCTCCATCAACCAGACGCCTCGCGCGCGCTCGCGCGCACGCGCAGAAATGGATCCCTCCGCTCGAAGAAGCGGCGGCAGCAGCAGCACCGGCGGCGGAGGCGGCCTCACTCCGTCATCCGTCGACTTCCCCAACCTACCCACCACAATATCACTTACACCAATACTTTCATCAACACCCGATCAAACCATTCCTCCTCCTCCTCCTACTACGCTATCCCGTTACGAATCGCAAAAACGCCGTGACTGGAACACATTCCTCCACTACCTTCAAAACCATAAGCCCCCTCTCAGCCTTCCCCGCTGCAGCGGAGCTCACGTCATAGAATTCCTCCGCTATCTCGACCAGTTCGGCAAGACCAAAGTGCACTCCCTCGGCTGCGCTTTCTTCGGCCATCCCTCCCCCCCTGGCCCCTGCGCTTGCCCTCTCCGGCAGGCTTGGGGATCTCTCGACGCCCTTATAGGTCGCCTCCGCGCCGCATATGATGAGTCCGGCGGAATCCCTGATACCAATCCCTTCGCCTCACGCGCCGTGCGTTTCTACCTACGCGACGTACGCGACTCCCAGGCTAAGGCGCGCGGGATACCTTATCATAAGAAGAAGAGGAAGCGACCGCTAACAGATGCCGCGGTGGCTGAATCTTCTTCATCTCGATCTGATGTTGGGTTAGATGAAGTTCAAGGATCCACTAGCACTGGCGGGGCAGAAGCGGGGGGACGAAGCTCTTCTTCTTCATCTGCTTCCTGATCATCCATTAGTAAGTTTAATTAGTCATAATTATGTGTTCAGAGAATTATATATATGCAGTGATCGATTCCCTTCATGCTTATAATCTATTATTTCTTATCATCAACTATTCTGTTATATATATCTTCTTAATTGATCAGTACTGGGATTCAAAGATCTGCGATTCATGAGAACATTTATCTCTCTCTCTCTCTCTCTCTCTCTCTCTCTCTCTGTATTTGATAGCCTTCAAACTTTGGATCTATATTTCTATCTCCATTAAGGAACGAAAAAGTAGAGTGAATTCTGAGTAAATAATTAAAAATTTTGGATTTTGCTGACTGTCTTTATTATTTTTGTTGAAAGTTGAATGAGTTCATGTGAAAGAGAAACAACAAGATAAGTTTTTTTTTTTAAATAGAAACTTTGTTAATTAATATGGATCATTGCTTTCAGAGCTCAGTGGTGTTTTGCTATACTGTTAACTCCACCGACATTCAGATTTTTGTCTGGCCAATATATTTGTCTTGATCATTTAAAAGTTTCCTTCGTGGTGCGGCTAGCTGGTTATACTTGAGATTTTATAATTAGTCCAGCAGAGAATTAATCAAGCTGGTTATAACTAATCAAACAATATGACCTAATGATCCAACATAGATAGAATGTCATAGATGAGAATTAAATTCTGAAGTTTGCTTTGTTCAGCTTAGTCCTAACGGTAGCATATGAGGATGAAGAACTGGCTCAGACATTCTCTTCAACATAAACCTAGCTAGGACAATTTGGAGAGAAAATGAAAATGAAGATTGTGAAGGAATTGAATTAAGATTAGGTTTCATAAACTTTTTATACAAGAGTTGGATAGAAACTTGTCATTAGAAAAAATAATAAGTTTATTAGAGTTTAATTGATATTTTAATTATATATTAACTACATTAAAATCAACTAAACACTTTATACAAAATTGATAGTTGTTAAGGGCTTTGGCTTTCATCACGAAGGTTATGGATATATAGAAGTTCTTGTTTAGGGCATCTCCAAACGAAAAATTCATTTTCCACTCTAAAATGTCGTAAAACTTCAAAATGTGCTAGTTCATCTTCAATGGAACTCCTTTTTTTTTGCATTTCTTTGCTAAGGAAAGCATCTCGATCTCTCATGTTTCGCGCGCTTCTTGCAAAGCTAAGCAGAGTGCTAAGGTAATCTTTTTTTTTTTGCATAGGTGAATAGTCAGACGCCAATATTGACGTCGCATTATTCACATATCGATTTTTAATATGAGATTTAGAGTTTGAATGTAGTGATTCGCAAATGGCATACAATAGTATGCACGAATTGTTGAAGATGATCAGTTATATATGTGAGTGTGTGTGAGCTAGCAATTATATTCTCTCAAAATTAGAATTAGAAGACATTTGTATTTACATTCCTATAAGGTTTAAGTTGTAATCACCACCATTTTTAAACATATCACTCAATATTAAGCTTTTTTAGTTATGTTTTTTTTTTTTTTTTTTTTTTTTTTTTTTTTTTTTTTTTTTTGTAATTAAATGCAGCACGGTGTGATTTCCTAAGCATAATTTTTGTAAAAAATTCGCTATAAGATATATTTAGGCTTTGTTTGTCATGACTTTTTTATTGCTTTCTAAAATAGCTTTTTAGTACAAAATTTATTGAACAAGAGTTTTTTTACTAAAAAGTTGTTTCAGAAAACAGTAAGAAAGCTGTCTCATGCGAAGCCTTAGTCACATTAATAATCATTTTTTGGCAATATTATGTAACCTTGATAAAATATGATTATATATTAAAAAGGTGGCTTAAAGGTATTTTCACTTAAAAAAAAAAAGTGATAATAGGATTTACAAAAGTATGGCAACTTAGAATTCTTTTAGTGGGTGAACTGTGTATTATTTCACATCTACTGTTTTATTCTGCACTATGTGATATTTATTTGCATTGTGACCCTAAGTTTTTTTTTATTATTATTCTAATATATGAGGATAGTCGTTAATATTAGGAGAAAGGAAACAATTATGCCTATTAGATTATGTAGGTGTAGTTTCATACAGTTAAAAAAGCTATTGCTAATATCACTTTAGTCGCTTTTATTTTTCTTTATGAAGAATAGAAATTTATTATAAATGTTTTCATTAATAGAAGATAAAACATATATAAGACTTGTTCCTTATAAATAGGTAAGGGAGCAATAAGATAAGAAGGAGACAACGATGGAGTTGATCTACTTCATAATTTCATTAAATATAACGTCGATCTTAATTTCTCCATTTGTTGACCGACAAACTGAAATTCATATTGGATTGAGCTTTTTAGATATTGGCAATGTTTGATTTAACTGAATTGAAAAAGTGTAAGTGAACAACAACAACAATAGCAAGCCTTTATCCCACTTATAGGGTAGACTATATGAATCAATTTTCACTGTTGTATACTGTTTAGAGTCAAATTTTTATTTAAATCTAATAAAAAAAGTTATTTCAAATACTTATTAATCAAGTTTTTGTAAGTATGTATATGTCTTTCTTAACATAGATCAAATCTAATATATCTATTCTTCTAACAAGATCTGAATAATTAATTTGAAAATAATTGAGGAATTACAAAAGTATCTTATTTCATAAGTATATATGCTATATTTGAGTCAAACACAATTTATAAAAAAATAAATTTATTTCAACAGTATCAGTAAATACATATTTTTATAATGATTATTTACCCTAATCGATGACTTATAAATTTTCTCCTTCATATCAAATAAGAGGCTAAAAATAAATAAATTAAACTCTTTGTATCGATTGCCTTTAGTTCCTTTTTTTTCCTTTTATTCATTAAATCTCAAATATATTTGAAATTTTAGGGGAAAGATGAGGAGTAAACACCACACTGACGAAACAAGAAAGAAAGTTAAAGCAACGAAAAGGTAAAGTACACTAGGATTTAATATGAAAAAATTCAAAATAGGGAAAAAAACACGGAGCTCCACCAAACCAAAAATTCACCATGAAAATTTTGGAGAAATAAGTACATATCTATCTTTTCTCTCACTCTTTTCTTTTCTGCTCTTCTCACATGCATTACTCTCAATGCCTACACAGTAAAAATACAAGAAAAAGCCAAGTAAAATAATCCCAAGGGACACAACCCTAAAAACAAAACGAGAAAGAAAACCGTCCAGTCTGCTCATAGCGATGTGGTGCTCAAGTCTTTGTCTTTCACCATTGTATTTATATTACTGCGACGTTTTGCTCTCTGTCTTCAGCTCTGGGGTGCTCGGGTACATAACATCAAGCATTGTGCAGAAAAATTTTTTGAGTTGGGGGTTTCCTCCCTCCCCCCCAACGAACACTTCAAGCTTTTAAGTCCAAGTCAACAAAATTACCAGATTGATCAACACAATCAGATTCCACACATAACATAAATTTTATATAAATCTAAGATAATTTAAGATAAAATTTTTATATTTTATTTTCATGTCATAGAAGATTTTCAAAGCCAACTCCACTTGCTAATTTCACCACTTTTAGATTCTCATTGTTGAAACTTGAAAGGTTATAGAATTGAGCTCTTGCATATGCATAATATTATGCATAAATTTATGATTAAATTCTTTTAAAATATAAAAAGAATCAAATATTAAATAGATAATTGTGAGACAAATATTAATTAATTACTTTAAAAATAATTCCTCAAAATCAAACATAAATTCTACTCTTTCCACATGAAATTATCTGATCACTGAAGCAACTCATGCGAATAGCCTCATCATTAAACTCCAAAGCTTAAAATCTCAATGACAATGTAAATTCACACCGATCATCTTGATTTTTTGATTAGAAAGTTTTGATTATTAATTAAGAGATCTTAAATTTGAAATTTATATACATAATATGTAGGCGAATTTATTTTAATGAGCTCAAATATTTTATTTTTATTAATTTTTTTAATGGGCTCAAATATTAAATAAAATAAATAAATAAATAATGAAGAAAATGTAAGTTCACGCGTGCACAACTTGCTTTCTTCGCCATCGAACCTATTAAATTCTGTCAGTACTGTCTGCTATAAATAACCCAATCACTTCTACAAACCAAAAGAAGTCTTTTATTTTCCTTCATCCTCTCTCATGATCAGAAGAGGATCCTCTATAGTTAAGATTGCAACTGCAAGGGTAAAGCTATTGTCCTGTAACCGCCCGATGCCAATCTGATGGCTGAAATTTAAACTTCTCTGGTTCATCAGCTTATTGGATTGAATTGGATCAGAACCGTCCAATTTGCATCGGATGGCATCTGTGCATTTTGTGTCAGAGCATCTGTCTCATTTTACTCATTGTCTTTCTGGACCTTTCAGTGAATTATTTTCTTATTATGGCTGGCGTCACTTATTAACACTTTAGAGATCTTCTTGATTCTTAAATTTGACAACTTCCATTATTTTAGCATCCATCTCCCACCCAAAAACTTATTTTTCAATCTAAAATATAATAATATTTCAAAATGTAATAATTTATCTTCAATCAAATTATATTTTTTAAATATATATAAAAAAAGAATATTCTGTGTATATTCTTTCTCAACCAAATTTTTTGATAAAAAAAACATCGATGAACAGTGTGACGTAAATATTGACATCACACAATTCACTTCGGATGATTGCCCCGCAATTAATAATGGAGTTGGAGCTGCCAGCAGACTGCATACAGGGATAAATTGCTCGAGTGGAGATGGGCTTAAGCTAGTTGATGCTTATTATTTTCATAATTTCCCTTTAGTTATGCATTTATGATAAAAGAGATTCTTCATATATATTTCAATAATTTTTTTTAAATTAGCATAATATTTTTATACATTTCTAATAGTGTTATTTTTAATATAATTAAATTTATTTTATAACATAAATGTAAATAATTTAATTGTAGTGAGATATGATATGTAATGCATAAAATTAATCTCATTTTGATATAAAATGTATTGGAATATTCTTAAATAACTTATTTTCTTATT